TCGCAAAGGTTCACAAGCCACCTAGCATCTTTGGTGCTTGCTGATGAGTTCTAGCATAGCACGCCAACTAATCTACAAATGTAGAAGTGCTGTGGCCTTTGAACTGATGTAAAGTGCCTTTCCCAAACTTTACCAAGTGAAAGACACAGCAAAACTGTTAAGTGATGTGGTGCTGTAGCTACTTGAGAAGAAAATTCAGAAACTAAAATTGTGTGGAGGTTGACATTTTGTTGTTTTGATTTTCTAAATATTTCAAGAAGCAATTGAAAATGATCACTATTTAGATCTCTATTTTATGATGAAAAAGTACGTTTTATATACTTGCAGGAGAAAAAAGTTGTTGCAGTGGCCAACCTTTTGAGATCCAGATAATGAATACTAGCTCCGAACGGACTTTGTTTCTTTCGTGATGAACTTCCTGGGCTGTGGGGGACTTTGAGTTTTGACGCAAATAACGAAGAAGACCTGACTAGTTCCTGGTTAGCCTCTCTTGCAGCTTGACCACTGTTGTAAAGTTGGGCTGGTTTCAGTTGATGGGTGTATAGTTCATCAAGGGGCATGCGATAGTCCTGAGAAGTAAAGTGACAAGTAAAAGACTAACGTTTTAATTAATGTGTGTGTAGTGTGCAATGTAAGGGACATAGTGCTGATTGAAGTAAAATACTTAGATCTAAGTAAAGTAATCTCAGTTTGTGTTCCGGTCTTGCCAGCTGTCTAAAGATTAAACGCGATACAGTATAGCACAAACAAGGATATCTGTCAAACTAGATGCAATGTGTGGCATGATGAATAAAATGGGAAGCTTCAAAAGAGAAGTAGTTCTTTAATTTTTTTCAGTGGTAGCTTACATTACAAAGTAGAATTCCTTCTAGGGGACATTCACAGATAGTCCAGGTCTGTAGTGGGCAAAGGTGAAAAAAAAGGTGAAGGAGAGCCGTCAAAAGAGAAGCTGCTTTCCCTTCAAGATTATTATGCGTATTATGTAAATTAGCGCTTTATTTCTGTCAATTCAGGAACCCTTAGGACTGTACAAGTAGAGTCCAAAAAGCATGAGACATTACAGCAACAGAATGGATTAAACAGATTTGTTTTACTTCTTGTTGAGGTTTACTGCAGGTCTGATTTCAGTAATTTGGAAGGTCTACTTCGCTGGTTGTTACTACCTACTTGTATCATGAATTCCTTCAAACAGTGGTAGGTATAATAGTGATTAGTCCCACTGAGGTCGTGGGATTACTCAAAATCATAAGTGCTGTTTCTGGTGGTACTGGGAGCATGCTTTTAATGTGTAAGTGCCTTAAGCAGATGGTAGTCATCTTACCTTGCACAGCACTGAGCACATGTTTAGGGCTGTATTCAGAAAAAGTTTGTGGATCCTGATCAATAGAGTTCAGTACCTCTAAAGTCACTGGAACAGTAGCTGGAGGCCTACGAAAGGCATGAAGCCGGGAGCTAGTTGGAAGATTCTCAGCAGACCCAGGGATTTAGGTGGAGTTTCTCAACAAATGACAGGTGATATACGGTGATATATGACAGTCATGATTTAGTCTGAAGTGAAAGGCATACTTGTGATGACAGCATCATTTAGAATGATGTAATTGAGCTTCAGCAGCACAAGCCTAATCAGAGGTCTTTAAGTGTAGTTTTAGAACTGCTAGATGGACAGCATATACTTTTCTGAACATGTGTGGTTCTTTTATATAAAAACGAGGAAAACCATTTTTCTGTCTCTTGTTTGAAATTGCTAGCTGCATTAACTAGACAGAAGTTGTCTGAGGCTGCCTTGGTTAGAGTATGTGTTGTGCTTAAGGTACAGGTCTTGAATGATAACAGTGATGAATACAAGTTTTAAGTTCCTGGATTTCCTTGGTCCTCCTAGAGGACCAAGGATGACATCTTTTAGTATTTTAGTGCTCTCTTAAGGCTTTCATTGGGAGTGATCCCGTTATTTTGAGCACTCTTGCAATGCAGCAGGTTGCCATGGCTGTCAGTGAGAGTTAGGATTGCAGTTATTCTTTCTAATAATGAGAACTTGAAAGATGACAGATGGATATGAGTTTCACCAAGTACTTGTATGTTGCTCTGGCTTTGTCTCTCTGGAACATGTTCACTTATTTGGGTTGGTATCCAAATAACGTTTGCGCATACCATATGTTTAGCACGTCAGCGAAGAGCGTTGCCTTTCATATACCCAGCTTGGTACAGAAGAAGTGCCCATAGGCGATGGTGAAGGGCTTTGCATATGGGAACTTCATACCCTCCTCATATGGTAAAAACAATACTCCTTAGCAGAGGTGTTCATAGCTGGAAAGCTTCTGCTTGTCAACCATGATATTTGGGCCTTCCCTTGTACCATTTCACAATATTTCCTTTTGTCAAATTTGGTCTCGAGCTGTTTTCAAGTTATAGGGGGCAGGAGACATGAAATGTTGAGCATGAGAGGGGGATTTTTTTATTTCTGAAAACCGTTTGTCTTTGGTTTGATCAAGGACTTCTATGATTAACGTTACATATTATTTAGCTTGCTTAAGTGGATTGATATTCATATGAAACTATAAGGAGAGTCGTTGAAAAAGTGCATGTCAACAGATGCGGAAAATAAATGAATGTAGTAAATGCCTTCTCTTTGTTTACAGAAGATGGCCTTTAGACACTGCAGTACATTTTCCTGTGTTTGTGTACGATTAATAGGCACAAATCACATTGCACCATCATATGCAAATATGATTGATGATACTTTAAAAAGGGAGATAAAGTAATATCACCTAGCTTACCCACTGTGTCAGTTCTGCCTTGTTATTTTAACTGTCTTCTGGGTGTTTCTTTTTCAAACACTGAAATCTAAAGAACTTAAATAAATGTGAATTGTTTAAGTTTCCTAACACCTTTTAGGCTTGTGAAGTAGAACATTGAGATGTGTGATATAACCATCTCTGCTGACTAATGAAGTAATAATTTTTCAAGTTGAATGGGAAAGATTCAGTAGTATATTGTTTTCTAGAGCAGGTAAACATAAACTCTAACTGTAATTCACAATGTGTTTAAAACAATTACTCTTTATCATTAACGTTGATAATATGCACATTAACCTCTGCTGTAGTCTGAATCAATAGTGTAGTTTGGGAGATGTGACCCCTGGACAGCTTTGTCTAAATATTGATTTCATTGTCATTTGTATAAGGTATGAAACAAATTACATGCCTCCCTAATATCATTAATGTAACCCCATTGAGCTACTCAGTTTATGGCTTCTTATAATGCATGACAAAGCATTATGGAGTTATTGAAGACATTGTGAAATACAGTTGCTTAGTGTGCTAGATTTGATTGTGGAAGGCCAATGCCAACACTCAATATTGAACACTTGCTGTCCAAAGAAAAGTCCAGAGACAGGAACGAGTCACTCTGTATTATGCAACTCCGTTGTTTATTTCCATCAGACAGCGTTGCCTTGGGTTCCGGGAGCAGCAATTTATTATACAGCCTTCTACTTACGTATTTGTAGCCTTACATGAAAATAACGCATACGCTTGTATTCTGTGCCAAAGGCAAAGGTTGTTCCTTCAGTTACTGGAGGAAATCAAAATAGGTGGGAGGGATAGCATCTCTCTGCCTTGGTCCACATTTGTAGTGGTGGTCATTGCTGCCATGACTTGAAAGAGAAGTTAAGTAATTTACTCCACACCGTGAGTTCTTCCCTTTTTTACCTTTCTATTACAACTGTCTTCTCACCATGCCCCTCATGTTTTCATTACTACTCCTTCCATCATAGCTGTTCCTCAAATCTTCCTTGCAACACCTTCTTCCCCTTCCAGGAAATTTGAGGGTTGTCCTGAAACCCCGCAGATACCAATTGTCCCTTCTTTTGCTTCCTCCCTTGTTGGAGAGCAACTTTTTTACACAGCCAGGCTGTTGTTAAGCACGAGATTTGAGTGCCTACTTTCCTTCATCTCCTTTCCAAATACAAACCTTGGCCTTGAGGATATCTGTGTAAAAGCTTAGTATAAGTTCCATGTCTTCCCCTAAACTTTCAGTTGGGATGATTTTTCTTGCTCTTTGCTTGATATCTGAGCACTGCTCACCTGCAGTCATTGGCTATAAGCTGCTTATTTCACATTCAGGAGCGCACACACACACACACACACACACACTTGCTTACCCCGTTCTTTTTCTTTAGATTAAAAAAAAAAAAATCAACTTCCATATTCAGTCTAGGATACTGCTTCCATTATCTACATCGTACATTTTCAAAGCAGCATCTTCCTACTTTCTCCTGTGGTAGCTTTCATGCTGAGAGACCTTCTTGTAAGTGTATGCAAAGCTACTTCATTGTGCTTTAATGTATACAAAAATCTCAACCACGTTTGAGCTTCTGCTGTGCTGAGACTACAGACCATCCTTCCAGCTGATACTGTCTCATTGTTTAATTGTACTTGCCCACTTTCTCTGGTGTTAGGCTTTTATCTGAGACTGTCTTTATGGCTTTTTGATTTTGGGGAGAGGATTTGTACAGCGTGAAACATGTAGGGCATAGTAATCTTTGGGTAAGTATCACAGGTGCTATGTTATTACAAATAATACAGAATGATACATTTCCTACATATCAAAATGCTCTAATTATGTTATCATTACAGTCAATGTAGGATTGGCACCATTAAAGTAAAGTTCTCTTAGCTGTCTCAGAAGGGTGCTTGGCACCTTTTAGGAACATGCTGTTTTTTCATCTGTATGGTGACTTTTTTTTAAATTTTTTTTAAAGACAAAAAAGATGTTCTTTTAGTGAAGAATATTAATAGATTACAGAGATGAATAGCCTCTTACACTCATGTTGAATATAATGCAGGCCACAGGACTTCCCTGAATTAATTCCTGAGAGAATTAGAATGCAGCTTAGGAAAAAAACAAACAAACAAACGAAAAGCAAACCAAATTTTTATATAAATCTTGCTCATGGTGTGTTTTCTTAGTTCATAAGTTTTGTTCCAAATTTTCTCTTATAGGTAAAAGTGACCCATTTTGTGTAGTTGAATTGAACAATGACCGACTGCTGACACATACTGTCTACAAGAACCTCAATCCAGAATGGAACAAAATCTTCACATTGTAGGTGTTTGGATTTTGTGAGGTTTTTTGGGGGGGG